TACCCTAGGCACAGCCTCTGGACCAAGTAACCTACCCTTTGTGGGCTGCTCTATCACTGCAGTCCCATCAACACACTTGCGAGCAAAAGATAGCCTGAAATTTCAACTGATTATACCAACATGGGATGACCAGTCAGAGGCTAATGTGTGGAATGTTCCTACAGAGTCAGGGAGGATGTGAGTCATGACTTCACGCATCATTTAAACAAGCCATGTGTAGATTCTTTTAAGCATTTGCCATAAATGGCTCCTTATATCACCATCTGTTCACTTTAGGTACAAGAAATATTATAAGATCATTCTTGTTACATAGATTTCCAGTTTGCAGTTTTGAAAAGCGTTTCTCCTATCTTCTGAAAAATGTGCAAATAAGTAAGAAGAAATGGGCATTTTCTTTTACAAACTAGACTTGCAATGGTGTTAAGACAATCTCTCTGTCAGCTGGCCCAACTCCAGGGACTGGGTCTCTCTCAGGGAGCACTGAAAATCCTAGTATAATCCTAAAATGTGGATGTTGACTTTGAAAGTCTAATTTAACTGACAGGTGTGTGAAATGGCACATAGAAAACTCCCCATTGGAGACAGTAAAAATGCTAGGGAGTAACAGTTAAGGAGAATGGCAATGATATAACCTCACTTATTTTCTCATTATATATGATCCTTTTCTAACACAGAAATTAATTTTTGTGATACATAAGATTGTACTCACATTTATAAACACCTGTTTTTAAAGTAAATGTCAAAATTACACAGACTGGAAAGTCTGCCTTCTGGGAAAAACTGACATATAACACACATTCCTTCTGGGGGGGGGGGGAAGCAACCCTCTCTTTAAATGGTAGGTGGCAGTGTTCTACCTTTGAACTATGGATATATTAACTTCAAGCCAATGAAATTCTGAAAAGAAAACAGTGATGAGAAAAATCATAATGATGAAAGAGTTTAACAATTTGTTTTCTCTATTTTGCATATAAATTCTGTGTATTCTAATGTCTGACTTCACCCAATGTCACATTAATCAAAGGTCACAATGTTTTAAAGCACTAAGATTTTAGCATTACTTCAGGATAAGAGAAGAATAAGAAAATAACTAAGTTTGCAAATATGAAGAAAAACTTTAGTTTTATTTTAGGGATCCTCTGCCTGAATGTGCAGTTCTGAAAAAGCTGCCATTTTAAATAAACGATAAACCCCTTATCTCTTGGCTCATGGAGCTTCATGTTCACTGAGTCTAGAGAAGTTGATACCATTTGCAGGGTCCAGGAAGAGGGAGTCAGATTATGAGCGGTGAGCACCTGCGTCCTCTGCGCAATTCAGAGGCACTCTGCCCCCTGGTGGACTGCTCAAGCATAGGCTTTGAGAAAGGGTTTGGAAGCCTCATTTCCCGCCCCCTTCTCCTACTGGCCTCTTCTCATCTGAAAACTCCAGTAGAAGCCCCAAGTTGAAAGCTTTTGCCCATTCGTTTCGGTCAAAAATTTCCTTTGATATAATATAAGAACCCTCGGCTACCTAATCAGCCCTGCACGGCTAAAATAAGAACCATATGAGACCAACGCGTTATCTTTGGTTATCATGGCTTTCCATAGGTAAGAAAAAAGCAGAGAAGTGGAAAATGAGACACTGGGGAGAGACGTGGAAGCGGTGAGGGCCTTTGGAGTCTGGGAAACAACTGGAAATCTCTGGACAATAAAGAGAAAAGAGAGTTTTAAAATGACTGAGAGGGGCTTCCCTGGTGGCGCAGTAGTTGAGAATCCGCCTGCTAATGCAAGGAACACGGGTTCGAGCTCTGGTCTGGGAAGATCCCACATGCCGCGGAGCAACTAGACCCGTGCGCCACAACTACTGAGCCTGCGCGTCTGGAGCCTGTGCTCCGCAACAACAGAGGCCGCGATAGTGAGAGGGCCGCGCACCGCGCACCGCGATGAAGAGTGGCCCCCGCTCGCCGCAACTAGAGAAAGCCCTCACACAGAAACGAAGACCCAACACAGCCAAAAATAAATAAATAAATAAAAAAGCCAAGCATTGGAAGCCCTTTAAAAAAAAAAAAATGACAGAGAGGGCGCTACAGGAAATGAAATATTCGGCAGTTTCCTCTGGGCCACCAGAACCACAGCAAACCGTCTCTTCTGCTTCTTTTCGGTCTCTTGGCTGTGTGTCGCCAGCCCAGGGGGTAAGTCTGAAAGGCTCCAAGCCTCAGTTGCTTCTAGCTTAGCCATGTTTCTCCCATTTGGGCTAGTTTGGTCTTCCCCAGTGCAAGCTTTCTCAAATAGCCCTCAAGGTTTTCTCAGCTACAGGTGCCCTGCACCCACAAAGAAGGCCGTGACAAAATCATGGCTAAAGAGGAAGTATCACCTGCTGAGAGCTTAGAAATCTTGATAAGCGCTTTACGTGTACAGGCTCTAAGCCTTTGCAACAGATCGCAAACCACACAGCGATAACAAGCTCTATATGCAGCTCAAACCTAGAACTTTCTGATTCCAAAAGCTATGTTTTCTGTCTACTTCTCCAGTGTTCAGATAGGTTGGTCTCCTCCTCTTAGGTCTCCCCCAGGCCTGCTTCTAACTCAGGTCCTCCCTTTCCTTTTTCTGTATTTCAAGCACCATGTAGTGCCTTGGAATCTAATTCCCCAGCCTAGAGACTAAACATTCCTTCTAAGAATGGTGATCTGGAAAACCCCTGGGATAGTGGAACTGACTTGCCCTCTTTGCAGACTGTGTCTAATTCCTTTTAAATTCTTCCTCCGGATATAAACTAAATCCCTCAAATTGTGGCAGTACTTGCACCAGAGTATCATTTACAATCAACTTTTCTCTCTTGAAGGTTCAAACTCCTAATTGCAACCCAGAATCCAGTGAACCAGTCTTTCCATAATAATAGAATTACCACCCAATGCTTTTTAGGACACAAAAAAGGACTTTTATTTCATTATTTTCCTAAACTTCATTTTGAATTACACATGTTTTGAAAGGTGGAAAAGGCAATTTGCAGTCACATTAACTCCATCAAATACACATAATCTGAGCTTTTGCTGCTTCGGTGAATTACAGTCCACTCAGGGTTTCCTGACGCAAGAAGATAATACTAAGATAATAGAGAGGAAGAATGAAGAAGATTGGTCTGTAGAAAATGTGTTGAAGTCAATAACTGTTCATTCATAGGTGCAGTGTCCATTCTTAGAAAGGAAACTCTAAAATTCCTAGAAACACAAGACAATATTGGTATTTGGGGATGAACACACATTCATATATTTGTGTGAAATTTTGTGCAGTTCAACAGTATGGAAAGTGTTATTTGTTACCACAGCCAATGAAAATATACTTTCATTTCTATGCCAGTTAAATATTTCCATCTCCCATATAATGTTCTGCAAAAAAAGCCATACTATGCTATAGGCAGCAGTAACTGAAAAGGCGCTTAACAGTCTTAACTACATACCCCTAGGATGAAAAATACACTTTGCATAAATCATGTGCAATGGTGGATGAGAAGTCTGGATCTCTTAGAACTACAAGGGTTTACAAGCTTCTACTTCATACAGTATGACCCCAATCCAGTCAATTCAGCCAAATAGTCAAGCAAAAATTTAGGTAGGTCATCTATAAGTGGCAAACAACCCGTTTGACTAAATTGACCATGTTTTGTTAATATGAGGACACAATCATTGCAGGTGCCCTATAAAGAAATCACTTGTAAATGGCTATTGGTTTCAATTAATTTTGCCCTCTTAGGCTCCTAGAAGTTGGCTTAATTGCTTCTAAGGCCCAAGAAAAAGCCTTAACAAAAACACAAACATATTAATAACATAAAAATAAATATCACGCTCTGTGCACAGTCTTCTCGGTAGTAAGCTAGATTTCTCCATGGGAGAAATGTCACAAAAAATGAACAGAGAGACGTGGGGATACAGTAGAAATTTAGGGTTATATAATGCCTACAATTTGCTCTTACTCCAGTGACAGGTGTCAATGTTGATCAAAATTTTCTTTTGTACTTAGTTTACGTGTGAATCTTTGAATAGGATATTTTCAAGAGTCATTATGCCAGAGTAAAGGGCTGCACAGCAGGGAAGCAATGTACTTCACCTCAATACATCTATTGTCTGACAGTCTGGACTGGGGAGCTTCAAGCAGGGAGTGAATCCATTTTACAAAGACAACTTGTTTCTGCAGACAAAAGGTATCACCTGCAGAAATCTCTCTAAAGAACGGAGTGTGAATCTTCTTTGGCATAATAAATGTTCCACAGACATTCATTTTTCATGCAGGTAATCCTTAGGGGCTACTCCATTTTATTCAGATCATGCATATTTCATCTATTAGTGTGTGATTTTGCCCTGTGTCGGGGAGTCCTCAGAGTGAATTTGAGATAACAACTAAGTATTTTTAGAATTTGAAAAAAAAAAAGAGATAAATTTAAAGTATTACTGATAGTATGTATTTTCATTGAAGTGTCAGGTCAATGACAAATTTCCAAGGTTCAAAAGCTTGTTAGTTCCCTGGTTGCCCAGTAAGTCTGAGGTTTGGTTCCGTGAGTTACAGGAAAACAGGCTCAATGTTAGCTTCTCTAAGCTTTTTGAAAGTCCTTGCATGTCATTTTCTAATAATCTTTGTTCCTACTCAAACTTCAATAGCAAGGGAAAAGAAACAGGTTTTTATCTTTAACATGGTTTTTAGAGGTTTTACTATTTTGAAGATTTTTGGAGAAAGGAGCTAGTTCTATTGGTTACTTTATATGTTAGCACACAAAGGAATTACAGATGGGAAGGAGAGTGCAAATGACTGTCAGAAAAAAGTCTCATGCATTTAAGATTTTTTTACAAGTCAAAATATACATCCTCCTGTTGCCACCCATTCCTTAATTGTATAAGAACCATTCCTATCTCATCTGTCTCCTTCATAGCTCACTCAATTGGGATTAAAAATACTTTTCTTGGAAAGCAACTTATATATCTTATACCCATCAGTTTCATCAGTGGCGTTAATAAGAAATATAGCAGCAGCTTGGGTTGAGTCACCCATCATATCCCCCATTTCTGGGGATTTAATTGTGTAAAATGACAGGTACATGAAATTAGGAGGAAAAAGCAATCTGCAGACTTTGGCACTAGCACACATAACATTTTGTTTGAGTTGTTAAGGAATGAGGTTTGACAATCACTACACAGGAATTACAAAATTAGAGATCTGCAGACAACAAACAATCACAGGCATTGGTTTTCAGCTTAATGCCCCCATCCACCCCCCACCCCATATAGTTTCAATTATAATAAAAATAGAGATCTTAACATCAGAATTTTGCTGTTAACTCTTCAAGCCACACATAGGGTTTGAAGCACCAAATCCACAAGTTTCTCCAATCAAGTTTAAATGAACAAAAACTGAATGAAGACTGAAGGATGCCAAAGTAACTGTTCTTAAACGAAGCTGTAACACAAAGTTCTCCCCCAAACACAGGGTATTAGTGTCTAGTTCAAGTACTACCAGGCTGTATGTAGATCATGTCTCAGACAGGCTCCAGACAAGAACTACAAGTACTTCTGGTTCTAGGGGGCATCATCCATGATACCAAAGCAGGGCAGGGATCCCTTTTCCGTCATCGATTTTCTGAAAGTTGCAACCCCCCTTGCGATGGGCTGTGGCAGGGTCGGTGCTGAAACTGGGGTTTGAGGGGAAAAAGTGAGCCCCCTCCTCAGCTGTTTGAACAGTTCTCCTTTAGAGCTCTCGCAGGGCTGTCCTGGCTTCTCAGGATCCATTGCCCTTGCTCACAAGAGAGAGCCTCACTCCGACCCAGTAACAGTCAAAGAGTCGACCTACCTGTGGAACCAGACACAACATGGTCCCCCAAAGGCCACTTAGGCGACCCCACTGCAATTGACAAGTCAACTTGTGCACTTAAAGCGTATCAGTTTATGGAGTGCTTGTTTGAAGTCCTCGTTGGACATGGTATAGATGATGGGGTTGATGAGGGAGTTGACATAGCCCAGCCACGTGAAGAAGTCAAAGATGGCCAGGTGGAACCAGCAGGCATCCTTGCAGATAGGCATCACCAGGGAGATGATGAAGAAGGGCAGCCAACACACAATGAACGCTCCCAAAATGATTCCCAGGGTCTTGGTGGCTTTGCGCTCCCTAGCGGCCATGAGTTTCTTCTTCTCCAGCAGGGCGTCGGAGACTCGCACTTTGACTTGGTTCACGTACACAGGAGACCCCGATTCGCTGGGTAAGTCTGCAGCCCGCGAATTAATGGAGGTGACGGAAGACGTGGACCCGGGCGAGTCAGTAACCAGCTGGGCTCGGGTCAGACGCTTGCCGGTTCTGTTGGGCGTCTGTTTCAAAATCCGGGAGCGGGCTTCCACGTAGATGCGGCCATAGAGGGCGATGAGCAGCAGGGTGGGGAAGTAGAAAGCGCCCACCGTGGAGTAGACAGTGTAGAGGATGTGATCCGTGTTCACCACGCAGTTCGACACCTCCTCCTCGGCTTTGGCCTGACGCCAGAAGAAGGGCGGCAGCGAGATGGAGATGGAGAAGACCCACACGAGCGCGATCATGACCGCCGCCCTCTTGGGAGTCCTTTTAGCCGAGTACTCCACGGCGTCCGTGATCGCCCAGTAGCGGTCCAGGGCGATGACACAGAGGTGCAAGATGGAAGCAGTGCAACAGGTGATGTCCGATGACAGCCAGAAGTCGCACACCACCTGGCCCAGCGTCCAGCGGCCCGTGACCGTGTACATGGTGCTGACGGGCATGACCAGGATGGATACCAGCAGGTCGGTGACCGCCAGGGAGGCGATCAGGTAGTTGGCGGGGGTATGCAGCTTCCGCGTCCGGTACACAGTGGCGATCACAAACGCATTGGAGAGCGTGGTGGCCAAGGTGAAGAGCGCCAGCAGCACGACCAGTACTACTTTCCAGGGCAGGGCTATGGAGTCCTGGTAAATGTAGCTCTCGGCGCTGCAGTTGTGGGAGGGAGCAGCAGAGACGTTGGCTTGCGAAAGCCCCGTCTGGGAGCTCACGGACAGCGGCGGGGCACACTGAGGGCCCGCTTCCTCCATGTCTCTCCAAGCGCAGCTCTCGGGCATGGAGCGGACGAGGACGAGGAAAGGACCGCTGAAGGGACCAGAGTCTTGTCCCCTGGTGGCTAGTCGGATCCGTGGGTTCCTCAATTACTCCTCCACCCAGGTTCCCAGGTGAACCTAGAGGTCAAGGGCGAGGCCGGCGGGCGCGTCCCCTGCACTTCGGGGCGCCCGTCGCTGCCGCCGCGTCTCTGGCTGTTCCTCTCTACGCCCCGTCTTAGTCCCGGGTTGTTAAGGGCTGGTCCACAGAGCCCCGCTGCGCTTCGGCTCCCACCGGGGCGTCTGGAGGAGGAGGCTGTAGTTCTGTTTGAGGAGGGAGCATCGGCCAGGTGGGAGGTCTTACCCCAGTTGCGCGGGGCTAAGCGTCTCCTAAACCGGGCGCTCCGGGATCTGCAGACTCGGCCCGCACGAGTTTCCTAGCTGTCGAGACCAAATCTTGCAGGCCATTGAGGGGTCCTGATCTTGCATTCCCGCCCTCCTCCCCAGGCTGGGGCAGTTTTCCTGCGGCGGCCGCGGTCGCCAAAGCTGGGCGGGGTGAAATCTGGGAGCCGCGCTGCGCCGCGCCTCGCGCCGGAGCTCTGCCCGCCCTTCTTTTCACGCGCTGGCCACTCCGGCGAGCTGCCCCGCGGAGAAGGGGCCGCAAGAGGTGGGACTCGGGGGCTGCGGCTGCGGCTGCTCGCGCCGCGCCGCCGCCGCCACCTCGGTCCCACGGGCGCCGCTCGGAGCCATGCCGCTGGGCGCACTGGTCTGGGGGACCTGGCGCGGCGGGCGGGGAAGGGTCAGGTGTCTGGGGGAGCTGCAGGGACGCGGCATACGCCGGTCCGGGAGGAGCATGTGAGTGGCGGAGCGGTCGGGCTCCTTTTATAGAGTCCAGGTCCGGTCCGCCGGAGCCGTGCAACTCTTGCCGCGCGGCGAGTGCCAACGCCGGCTCCCCATCACCTTCCCTTTTTCTCTCTCCCTCCCTCCTATCCTCCCGCCCGGTTCTCTTCCCCGCCAAGGAAGCTCCCGCCGGGTCCTATCGCCGTCTTCTCCAGGTCCCATCCCCTGGCCCCTCTCCCAATCCGAACACCCGGGAGCCACGGTTCTGGCCGGAATGGGGTTGAGGGCGTCCTGTCCATGCTTCTATCTTCTTCCGAGCTTGCTGCACGCCCCTCCAGTTACACTCGCACCCTCAGCCGCGGGCACGTGCACAGCCTCACTAGGCTCCTTACTAGGTCCCTTACTAGGCTCCTAAGTACCGTCCCCCCCACCCCACCCCACCCCCCGACCCCAGTAGGCCCGGCCAGCGCTAGATGGAGCCAGCCGCAGTCTCTGACCTCGCCACTCTGGAATTTTATCCAGCCCTGCGGGCCACACCCAAGTTAGAAGGAGGCGCCAGTAATATCGCCTTAGAAGGAAATGGCCAATACTGCATTTTATACTTCGGGATTCAAGTCATAAACTCTCGGTACAATACAAACTAATTTTTCATATCTGATTTTAGGAATCTGTGCTTTCCATTTAATCCCTCCCCTTTAACTGTAAGTCGACAGGAAAGAAGAGAGAGAGAAAAAAAACAACTGCAAAAATGTACAAGTATCACAAACACAAGCACACTGTGAAATTAAACCGTCCGCTCCACCCTCCCACTTCAGCCTCTCAGCAGTTCAGTGTCTCAGGAAAACAGTTTGCAGTGAGCGCGCTCGCTCCTACAGCCCGTCTAGAAAGGAGGTCATCAGAATTCAAGAAACAAACGGGCTCTGGGACCACGACCACCAGCACCATCCGTGCGCCTCCTTCGGCTTCAACAAATACATCGGGGTATCACCCATACGCGGCTCCAAGCAATACCAGTACCTAGGTCCAATGACCCCGGAGCAGGTGCTCTGTACCCGTTCCTCCTCCATCCCTAACAGAAACACATGTAGAGTAGAAGTACAAGTCAGAGAACATTTAAAGAAAAGTACCAGGAAAGGACACCGTATTTTCAGCTGTGAGAGCTAAGTGATCCCAACTGCGAGTTCCAAGCGTCTAGCTCCGTGTTTGGCAGCTAGAGTGCATTCAATAAAAATGACCTTATGATTGCACTTATCAGGATAAGTGTAAGCACATTTTAAAGAGAATTATTCAGTTTGGGGCCGGAGATTATCTGGCCCGTTCAGTTTAGAAGAGTCATTGAGATCCTTTGAAAGAAGAGCTTTTTACCCAAGGTGACACAACCCTAACCCCAGTTCCCTTGATTCCCGCGTCTCTAAGCCAACCAGACGGGCAAAAAATCTAGTGTCTGCTCTATGCTGGGAATTCTTCTAGGCACCTGGGTTGTAAAGGCCAGTGGGGTAGACCCAGACCCAGTTTTCAAGCAGTTTACATTCTAGAAGAGGCAGGCATGCAATAATAACATGAACAAGTAAATAATTAGCATACTTTCATATAGCGTTAAGTGTTATGAAGAAAATAAAACACAATCATGTCTCGAGAGTGAGGGTACTTCTTTAGGTGGAAATTCTCCAAAATCGTCCTCTGGCTGCAGTCTGGGCTGCAGCAGCCAAGCTGGGTATAAAGGCACCACCTTCTCTGGCCTCTCCTGCCTTCCCTAGCGCCCAGCACCGCTCCGGTAAATTTAAGCGTCATTTGCACCGCATCTTAAGGGGTCCTGCCCATCCTTCCACCCCACCCACCTACATCAGGCCGCTGGCGAGTTAACTTATTTTGCGAACTGCAGAGCTCTCTTAGAAACCGCAGCAAAGGAAAGCGAAGCAGGCGAGCCTAAACCACTAGGTGGAGGCGTTAGTCAGGATGGAGCAAAAGTGTGTGTGGGTGCTGGGGGCAGGCGGCGTGAGGGGAACGGGCAGGAAACTGTTTTCCTGCTACCTTAGGGGAGCGGGGCAAGGTTAGAGAGAACTGCTGAAGGGATGCGGGGAAGAGGAAGGCAAAGAGGAATGCTAGAGGCTGCAAGCAGCCTTTCCTTTTGCAATTTAATTGCTCCTCCTCGGGCTTGGCTTTAGCGAAGTGGGGAACCTGTGGCTTTCTCCAGCCACGCCTTCGCTGCTTCGCGAGTCCCGGACCCTGAGTGCGATCTGCCACCACTGGGAGGAGTTTGATTTTTCCTCCTTTGGTTAAGAATTTGCGTGAACACACCCGGCCATCACACGGATGGGATTTTGGCAGAATTTAGTGGAGAACCGTCCTTCATTAACTTGGCTCCCTTGTTTCACTCACTTTTTTTTTTCACTTAAAAACATATAAAATATAGATAGTTGCACATGACTGCATGTTTGTGAAACACTCCAGAGACCAGGAAATCTTTAAAGTCGCCTCTGCCAGGGTCGCCCCTGCGGAGGAGGGTCCCTTGGCCGCTCTGCAGTCCGCAGCCGCGCTGGGCAACGTCCCTTCAAGTCTGCAGGAAATTCAGCCGACACAGACTCAGCTGGAGGGGCAAAGAGGGAACCGAGGTGGGGTACTGAGCTTCTGCTTGACTACCGGGCACTGAAACTGCGAATTAATGTGCTCCCCTCATCAGCTCCAAGCAAGCGGGGTGGCCTTTCAGCAGAAACTGGGGATGGGGGATAACACTGCAACTGCAGCGACGCCTGTGATTAGACACGAAGCCTGAGAAGGTGAACTGCAGAGGGACCACAGAAGAATCGCCCCTCCAAGAGACCGAGCCTATGCTAGAAGGAAATGCTGCCGCTGCTGCCGCAAAACACGAGGCGCGGTCCTCCGGGGTTGCAGCGCAGCGCTAACGAGACCCGACGCAGTGAGGACAAGCCCCTTCCACCTCCACGCAGCCCCAACAGACACCCGGTAGAACGTGCTGCAGCTCAGCTCTGGCTTGGCTGGAAGCCAGCCAGCCCTCTGGTCTGTGCGCTTGCAACATCCCTACACTCTTTCCTGCATCTCCCAGAAAGAGACTTTAACTTCAGGGCACAGGAGCAAAGAACTTCCTTGTGAATTTTATCTTTGCTTTGCAGAAAGAAAAAAAAAAAACAAAAACTCGAACACTCACGCTCTTGTCGCTTTGCTCTTTTGATAAAGCAAAGTGCAACTTCACACGCTCCATCCCCACCAGTTGAAAAATCCACAAGCAGTCCCTAACCACAAAGTGTGAGGACCTGGCAAGCTACTTCTTGCAGATTCTGCCCCCTCTATCTATGGCCATGTTCTTTTTTGTTTGCTTGCCTTTTTTTTTTTTTTTTTAACTTCCACCCAGGAAATGGGCAGCAGGAGATGACCATGAGCTCTGTACATCCTCATGCATGGTGGTAGCCTGTTTCTAGGTTTCTCTTATATTTCTTCCAGTAACGATTCCGTAAGAATAATACTGGTAGTAATGAAAGTTACCTCTTACTTATGTCTTGCTTGAAACTATGGAGATGTTCCGATAAATGAACATTTACATACATACAGATGTATATATACAATTTTTGCAGACAACCTCTGGGGTTTACCAGACCTTCTGAGGCTCAGATCCCTCTCCATATTATTGACCCAACACTGGGCTTTTGACTTGGTATCCGTGTCACTGTACTTATGTGTTGTGTGCTCCTCAAGGGGTCTTTAAGCCAAATAATAAAAATGGGTGCTTTATTCTCTAAGTGCCAGGCTGGCATAAATTAATGCCTGAAAATTAGTAACTCTGCTACGTGTTTGTGTATGAATACAAATATTGTATAAGCTATATCTGCATTTAAAGAATGCAGACAAAAATTAGAGCACGTATGTATAACTTAGACATGTTCTAATGCCTGTGTCTGTAGTAACAGCCACTTTGCTACTTCCAACAGATACCCACAACAGGTAGGTTACTGCTGGTTCAAAGCTAGCCCAGTTCCAACTAGAAAAAGAGTCACCTCCCAACTTAGATCTCAGTCACGTATTACCTCACTGAAGACCTAGGTTTTAGAAGATAATTTCTAACCTAAAGCTTATAGTAACATAAGCAAGGTTGCGTGGGGGAGAAGAGCACTGATTTTTTTTTTTTTTTGACAAAGAGCAGGTTTTGGCAATAATAAGAAATCACTGAATAGGAAAACAATGCCAGCAAATCCACCGAAGTTGAGAGCAGCTTGCTGCCACCAGCAGGCATTTCTGTGCAGGATGAAGTCTCTCCTAAAGAATGAAATCCAAGAATTTAATAGTGAAACTGTCCACTGGCTTAAGGAAAGAAGCAATAGAAATTGGGTTTTGCCTTATTTTCAGACTAGGAAAAATTGCATCACTGTGTGATTCTTTCCAGTTTTGCAGAAAACCAATCAAGCTATTTTACTGCTTCTTCATCTGTAAATAACGAGTAATAAGCACTGTCTTTTATTGAGGGCTGTGTGCTAACTAAACCTGCATGTTCCACGTACATTCTCTCACTTAATTCCTATAACAGCACTAGCAGTTGTCATGATCATCTTCATTTTCTGGATGAGGAAGCTGAAGCTTAGAGAATTTAAGTAAGTCTGCCAACAGCTGGAGAATGATAGAACTAGCCTCTCTAATTTCAAGGTCCTCCTCTTTATCAATGGTCTACACCCAGTCAGCCAGGCAACTCAGCACTGGCAGCCCTTTTAACAATCCTGCCTGTGGCTTTATTTCATCTCACTTGTGAAGTGGCATCAATGCTGATAGCTATTTAAATCTCCAGAGTAGTCTTTGGTTAGGTGCCTATACATTTTTTTCTGGGGGGTGGGCGGTGGTAACGGTAAAATTCAGGTAGAGAATTGTGCACCATGATTATGTTTAGCCAGTTAATCATCA